GATTTTGGGGGATTTTGGGGAATTTTGGTCGATTTGGGGGGATTTTGGGGGATTTTGGGGTCCCTACCTGTGCCTCCTGCGTGCTCTGCTGTCGGGATCCCAAAATTCTGCAAATCGAGGGGTGGGGAAGTCAAAAATAGACTCCCCAAAAAAATAAAAATAAAAATTAAAATTAAAATAAAAATAAAAATAAAAATAGAAAATAAAAATAGAAAATAAAAATAAAAATAAAGATAAAAATAAAAATTAAAATAAGTATAAAAATAAAAATATAAAAATAAAAATATAAAAATAAAAATTGCCGCCCTTTCCCAAATTCTGGAGGTTCCACTAAAATTCCAAAATTCGGGACCGCCCCCCCCCCCCAAAGTCCTGGGAACCCCAAAATCCCGATTTTTTCCCCAAAATTTTGATTGTTTTCCCCCAAAATTTTATTTTTTGTTCCCCAAAATTTTGATTTTTTTTTCCCCAAAATTTGATTTCGTGATTCTCTCCCAAGATTTGGGATCCCTCCCCAAAATCCCGGAACTTTCCAGAACCCCAAAATCTCACGGGACACCCCCCAAAATCCCCAAAATTCCTCAAAATTCCCCACCCCAGGACCCTAAAAATTCCATTTTCCCACAACTTTTCTCTCCCAAAATCCCGAATTTTTCCCCAAAATCCCGGAACTTTCCAAAACCCCCCAAAATCTCACGGAACTTCCCAAAAAAATCCTCCAAATTTCCCATCTCAGGACCCCCAAAATTCAATTTTCCCACAATTCTTTTCTCCCAAAATCCCGATTTTTTTCGGTTTTTTTTTCTGGAATTTTTTCCCAAAATCCCGGAACTTTTCAGAAACCCCAAAATCTCCCAAAAATCCTCCAAATTCCCACCCCAGAACCCCCAAAATTCCATTTTCCCACAATTCTTTTCTCCCAAAATCCCGATTTTTTTCGCGATTTTTTCGGGATTTCTTTCGGGATTTTTTCGCGATTTTTTCGCGATTTTCCCGGGATTTTTCCGGGATTTTTTCGCTATTTTTTCAGGATTTTTTCCGGTTTTTTTCTGGAATTTTTTCCCAAAATCCCAATTTTTTCCCCCAAAATCCTCACCCGGGCCGGATCCCCCTGAGCAGCCGCATTCGCGCTCCCAAAGCCATCGCGGCCATGTCGCGATATCTCCCGATGTCGCCGCTCTCTGTCGCGATATCGCCGGGATTTGTCCCCAAATTCCCCCCCGCTCGCGCAAGGTCACGGCCGAGGGGCGTGGCCAAAACGCGCGGGGGACGCTGGGAAATGTAGTGAACACGCCCACATCCGTTTCTATCAACTTTATGTTGATTTATGCTAATTTATGCTAATTTATGCTAATGACACATCGAACGCCACGCCCCGGTTGCGTTCCCGCGCTGACGCTCGATGTGGGCGTGGTCTGGAGCGCGGGGCACGCTGGGAAATGTAGTAAACACGCCCACATCCGATTTATGATGTTTTATGCTAATCTATGCTAATTTATGGCCAATTTATGTTAATTTATGCTAATGAGACGTCGATCGTCGCGCCCCGGTTGCGTTCCCGCGCTGACGCTCGATGTGGGCGTGGTCTGGAGCGCGGGGCACGCTGGGAAATGTAGTAAACACGCCCACATCCGGTTTACGCTGTTTTATGCTAATTTATGTTAATTTTATGCTAATTTATCCTAATGAGATGTCGATCGTCACGCCTCGGTTGCGTTATCGCGGTGACGCTCGACGTGGGCGGGGTTTTAGGAAAGGGGCGTGGTCTGGAGCGCGGGGCACGCTGGGAAATGTAGTCAATATGCCCACATCCGTTTTGTCACATTTTTATGCTTATTTATGCTAATTTTATGTTGATTTATGGTATAATACGCTGATTTATGCTAATGAGATGCCGATCGTCACGCCCCGGTTGCGTTGCCGCGGTGATGCTCGACGTGGGCGTGGTTTTAGGGAAGGGGCGTGGCCAAAACACGCGGGGCACGCTGGGAAATGTAGTGAACACGCCCACTTCCTTTTCGTCAAATTTTATGCTCGTTTATGGTAAATTTATGCTAATTTATGCTAATTTATGCTAATGTATTTCGTCACACCCCACCCGCATTGCCGCGGTGACGCGCGATGTGGGCGTGGTTTTGGGGAAGGGGCGTGGCCGCCGGAGTTTTTAATTTTAAAGTAAAATTATTGGTTTTTAGAGGTTGATTTTTGGGGGAAACGCTCCCGAATTGATGAGTGGTTTTTGGGGATTTGAGTTTAAGGAAAAAATCAATTTTTTATCGTATTTTTAGGTGGTTTTAGGGTTTAATTTTACGGGAAACCCCCTGAAATTAATGTGCAATTTTAAGGGGCTTAAATTTAAAAAAAATCATAGGGTTTGGGGGGCTTTTGTGGAAACGCTGGGAGAGCTTTGGGGATTTCACTGTTCCCACCCTTTTCCCATCACATTTTCCACCCTTTTTCCCTCACATTTTTCACTTTTTTCCCCTCACATTTCCCCTCACATTTTCCCCTCACATTTCCCCTCACATTTCTCACCCTTTCCCCCTCACATTTTCCACCATTTTCCCCTCGCATTTCCCCTCACATTTCCCACCATTTTCCCCTCATTTTCCTCCCTTTTCCCCTCACATTTCCCACCCTTTCCCCTCACATCCCCCACCCTTTTCCCCTCACATTTCCCCTCACATTTTCCACCCTTTTCCCCTCACATTTCCCCTCACTTTTTTCACTATTTTCCCCTCACATTCCCCACCCTTTTCCCCTCACATTTCCCCTCACATTCCCCACCCTTTTCCCCTCACATTTCCCCTCACATTTTTCACTATTTTCCCCTCACATTTCCCACCTTTTCCCCTCACATTTCCCCTCACATTTCCCACCTTTTTCCCCTCACATTTCCACCCTTTTTCCCCTCACATTTCCCCTCACATTTCCCACTCTTTTCCCCTCACATTCCCCACAATTTTCCCCTCACATTTCCACCCTTTTCCCCTCACATTTCTCACCCTTTCCCCCTCACATTTCCCACCATTTTCCCCTCACATTTTCCACCTTTTTCCCCTCATATTTCCCCTCACAATTCCCACCATTTTCCCCTCACATTTTCCACCTTTTTCCCCTCACATTTCCCCTCACAATTCCCACCTTTTCCCCTCACATTCCCCCTCACATTTTCCACCCTTTTCCCTCACATTTCCCCCCTTTTCCCCTCACATTCCCCTCTTATTTCCCCTCACATTTCCCACCCTTTTCCCCTCACATTTCTCACCCTTTTCCCCTCACATTTTCCCTCACCTTTCCCACCCTTTTCCCCTCACATTTCCCCTCACATTTTCCATCCTTTTCCCCTCACAGTTCCCCTCACATTCCCCACTCTTTTGCCTCACATTTCCCACAATTTTCCCCTCATATTTTCCACCTTTTCCCCTCACATTTCCCACCCTTTCCCCCTCACATTTCCCCTCACATTTTTCACCATTTTCCCCTCACATTTCCCATTTTTTCCCCTCACATTTCCCATTTTTTCCCCTCACATTTCCCATTTTTTCCCCTCCCATTTCCCCGCCTTTTCCCCCTCATTTTCGGGGCTCCATTTTTGTGTTCATTGCTGCAGCAGACAGACAGACAGACACAGAGACAGACACACACCCAGGTACGAAGCAACAGCGCCGTTTATTTACAATGGCGGGGGCTGCAGCCCCCCAAAATCCAAAATATTATCCTTCAAACAAAGAGGGGAGGGAGTAAAAGGTGTGGGAGGGGGGGGCCCCCCCAAATTCCAACTGGGAGAAGGTTTGAGGGAGGATCCCCCCAAATCCCCCCTTAAAACTCCCCCAAAATTGGGACAGACCCTGCCCGTTTTTGGGGGTGTCCCCCCCTTCAAAATGATGCTCTAAACACCCCCCAAAAAACTTCGGGGGAGGCCCCCCCAAAAAAGTGGGGTGCAGGGAACGTTTAGAAAAATAACACACATGAAAAAACTTGTTTCCAAAACCTCCGAGTTTGGGGTGAGGGACCCCCAAATCCACCCCCTCCCCTAAAATCTTCTACAGGGGTTGAGAGACCCCAAAACCTCATGAATTGGGGTACAGGACCCCAAATTCCATGTCCTGGGGGGGAATAAAAGACCCCCAAACGTAGAGGAGCCCCTCAGATTTCAACCAGGACCCCAAAAACTCCTAACGCGGGGTGAGAAACCCCAAAACTCTCTTTTTTTTGGGGTAGGGGACCTCAAACCCACCCATTTTAGGGGGGTTTTCCCCAAATCTCTTAATTTGGGATGTGGGACCCCCAAGCTCTCCTTTCCTGGGGGTGTGGGACCCCAAAATCTCATGATTTGGGGCAAAGAAAGCCCCCAACCCCCCCTATTTTAGGGGAGGCCCCCAAAATCTTTTTGTCTGGGGTGAGGGACCCCCAAAAATTTATAATTTGGGGTAGGGGAGCCCCCAAACACCCCCATTATCTACAGGGAGCTCCCCCAAATCTTAATTTGGGGTGAACAACCCCCCCAAATCTTCCCATCTTTGGGGTGGAGGACCCCCAAAAAATTCATGATTTGGGGTAGGAGACGCCCAAATTTGTACCCCAAGGAGGAAAAGCAACCCCAAAAACCCTCCTGTCCTGCAGATGAGGGACCCCAAAAACCTCCCCCTGGGTTGGCTGAGGGATTGAAATTCCCCAAATTTTAACCGGGACCCCAAAACCTCACAACCCGGGGGGGTGAAAGACCCCGAAACCGCCCAATTTGAGGCGAGGACCCCACAAAATCCCCTATTTTAGGGGGGCCCCAAAACCGCATGATTTGAGGGGTTTACAACCCCCCCAAAAAAAATCTCACTATTTTGGTAAAGGTTCCAACCCCCAAAATCCCACAATTTTGGGAAAAAATCATAAACCCCAAGATCTCACAATTTCAGGGGCGTGGGGTTTAGACCCTAAAATCCTCATGATTTTGGGGGGGGGAGGTTCACACACCCCAAACCATCACAATTTCCAGAGGTTACAAACCCCCATAATTTTGGGGAGCATCACCACCCCCAAAATCTCCAATTCTGGGAGAGTCCCAAACCCCAAAATCTCCCAATTTGAGGCCCCCACCCCCCAAAAAAAAACCCCCGTGAGGGTCGGGGTGGGATTTTTAGGARTCCCCCGTGGATCTGGGGGTGTTGGGGGTGGCTCTGCGGGGTCCCTCGCGGCATTTTTGGCAATAAAAAACGTCGGGGACGTTGTTTTTCTTGACTTTTGCGCAGGAAAGATGGATCCAGGTCCCACATTGGCTGCACTCGATCATGGGCCGACCCGCGAAAGGTTTCTGGCAGTAGCAGGTGATCAAATCCCAGGAATCGTCACCTGAAAATGGGGAAAAAAAAAAACCAGGGAAATATGAAAATGTGTAGGTGAGGTGAGCGCAGAGTTGGTGGTAAAAAACATGGGGAAAAAATGAGGAAAAAATGAGGCTAAAATGAGAAATGGGGGTTGTGGTACAGCAGAACTGCTTAAAGTTTTGTGGAGGAGTTAAAATATCTCAAATTTATATCCCAGGTCTTTGCTAAAATCATCCATATCTCTAAATTTA